ACTGTCCTCCTTCCTGTGTCACTTCAGCCCTCAGAGGCCTGACAGCTCTTCCACGCCTCCCCTGACCGTCCCCACTGTCCTCCTTCCTATGTCACCTCAGCCCTCAGAGGCCTGACAGCTCTTCCATACCTCCCTTGAGCCTCCCCACTGCTGGACTCCTATCTCAAGCCTTCTTTTGCTTCACCTAAATGGCTACAACAGCTGGCTTCCCTGAGCCCAGGTGTCCCCACTTCATTATATCATGCACGTAGCAGCCAGATTCATCTCTAAAAACCCTTCTCAGAAATCTTGAGTGGCTCCTTTTTCAGAGCAGCCGAAACTCCTTCATTTCTGCTTTGTGTCCCTTGGATCTGTGGCCCCACCCTTCCAATCCAGTTTTTCTTCCTACTTCTCTCCAGCTGGTACTTCCCACTCTAATCATTTTAGTCTCTCAGCTCTTCACCAGAACAAGCCATACTTCTTCTCAACCTTGGCTTCACCCTTATTCTTCATGAGAAATTCCTTCTTTTATCTCCTCTGTCTTTCCAAATCCAGCCTGTCTTTTTAGGCCTAACTAAAACTTCATCTTCCGTAAATCAGCCTCTCGTCACTTCTTGTCTGATCCATCTTCCTTCCCTCTGATCTTCGATGCTACTGTAGTTTACACACCACAGTTTAATACCTAATGATCCACTGTTCTTATAGTCTTAGCTCGTTTCCTGTCTCTTCAATATCTGCTTTATTTGCTCAGTTATTTATTTTTGGAAAAGATAATAGAAACACAGTGTAAAAAAAAAAAAATCCAATGGTTTGTTTGTTCCTTTCAGAAGTCATAAGTGACAAAAAAGAATTTCTGTATTCCCAGGATGCAACACTGAAAGAGCTTATGCTGTGTTCTGGAGATACTTTGGTTTTAATGGAAGGGACGCTTCCTCCTCCGGTAAGATTTTGCTTCTGAATAGACATTTTGTAAGTAACAGTTATTGTTTTCTGATTATAAAGGGGGATGTATTCTCACTGTGGGAAAATGGGAAAGTACAATCATAAAAAAATAGAAAACCTACCAAATCCTACCAACTAGACAAAGTACCATACTTGACATTTTTATATTTCTTCCCATAAATCTTTTTTAAACAAAATTGACTTCAACCATATATGAGGTTTTCTTTTTACTTCTTGTATTTAACATTTTAACCTGATCATAAAATTCAAAAACAACTATATCCAAGGTATGATTTACCACAGTTTAATTCACCTATACCCTTATTGTTGGAAATTTAGCTTGTTTTTAAATTTTCTGTTTTATAAATAGTACTAAATATAAATCCTTCTTAAGGTAGATTTCTAAAGGTGAAATTACTGAGTCAGAAGGTATCAACTTTAAAGACTTGAGGCTCTATATTGGCAGTGTTTTCCCAAAACCTGTACCAGATGTATACTCCTGTCCACAGTCTGTGAGAGTTCATTTCAGTGCCATCTCACAGACGTTGCATAGTACTGCTTTTTAAAGCCAGTATTTATTAGTTGTTTTTTTTTAACATGGCAGCTGTAAAGATGAAAATAAAAATAGCCCCAAATTCCATCACCCAGACAACCATTTGCTCATGATTAGAAAATTCAAACAGCGCCAAAAAAAAAAAAACAAAAAGCCAAACCCATTGCCGTCGAGTTGATTCTGACTTATAGCGACCCTAAAGGACAGAGTAGAACTGCCCCATAGGATTTCCAAGGAGTGGCTGGTGGATTGAAACTGCCAGCCTTTTGGTTAACAGCCAGGCTCTTAACCACTATGCCACCAGGGCCCCTCAAACAGCACAAAAGGCTATAAAATGAAAAGGAAAAGTTACTCCCACCTCTTTTCTTCCCAGAGGGAGCTACCCACCATTAACTTTTTTCTCTTACTCCTTCCAAGAAAAAAATTATACTTATTTGTATGGTGAATGTAAATATGTGCACATCGTTTTTTAGAGTTTACATCCCAGGGGTCATATTCTGTACATTGTTTTGCGCCTCTTTTGGGTTTTTGTTTCACTTAGTGTGCCGTGGGCATCTCCCCCTATCAGCACGTGCAGACCTACCGTATTTTTTTTTCCATGAGTTCATAGAATTCTATTGTATTTTGTACCGTGATCTTTAAAATTAATTTTTTGAGTAGGTGATACTTATGGTAAGGACCCCTGGTAATACAGTGTTTAAGTGCTCAGCTGATAACCAAAGGTCAGCGCTTTGAACCCACCAGCTGCTCCGTGGGAGAAAGATGTGGCCGTCTGCTTCCATAAAGATTACAGCCTTGGAAACCCTATGGGGCAGTTCTACTCTGTCCTCCTTCCTATGTCACTTCAGCTAGGAGTTGGAATCGACTTGACGGCAGTGGGTTTTCATGTTTACGTTAATACTCGTGGTAAAAAATTCAAAGTGTATAAAAAGCTGTGCCACTAAAAGTACATGAGTTTCCTTCCTCTCGCAGGCAAAGAACATCTCAGTCCCAGTCATCCAGAGACCGGTTTTTGTGCTTTGAAACTTCCGATTTTAAAAGCATTAAACAAGTATAATGTGAGCAGTTAATAAGTCTAAAGGAAAAAATAATAAAAAATTCAAAAGACATTTCGCTGTCAAGACTGTGGAGACGGAAGTGGAAGTTCACTTCCTTGTACCTCAGAGCAGTAACAAATGCCTCATTCTTCAGGGTTTCCTGAAGGTACCCATCTGGTGGTACCAACCTTGGGACCCCGCAGGACGCCGTGAGAGTCAGCAGGGCCGGGTGAACTCGGCCGCCTCTCAGGATGGCGCCTGGAGAGCCACATCCTCCCAAGGTGAGAGGAGAGCGGAAGTGCAGCTGCTTGTGTATCATCAAGACAAGGAAACTACCTGCCTCGCCTCTGAGGAACTGAAATTCCTATTTTAAAAAATCTAAGGTTGGAAATAAGAACCTAGTCATTCCGTAATAATAAGCCATTCCATAATGACACCATCCTGTTTTTGTACAGTGCTTCGTAGCCTCTGTAAGGCACTATATATGTTCTTGTGTTATTATGAGTATATCAAGGGACTCAGATTCAGACTTTCTGTCACAGTGTCAGAACATGGCATGTATTTCAGAAATACATTTAAGGCTTCTCTCAAACATCACGTGCTGTCTCTTTGAAGGTGTTCCCAGTAATGTGCGCACAGAAGGTACCCTCCGCTACTTGGGCGACGTGGAAATCTTGGAAGATGCCACCTTGGTAGATCTGAAGTGTCAGGTCAGACTTCTCCCTATGTCTGTGTTAGTGGCGATATGGCTTCTTCCAGTGAGATATTAATGTTTTCTTCTATCTCCTTTTCCCTCAATTGCAGTTTGTTCTGATATGGCATTTGTTATGTGCCATGTTCAGGGGTGAGTACCCAACAGGCAGCCCGCCTGCGGCTCAGACGGCTCCTGGTTTGTTCCCCCAGCTGCCCTGTGGCTCTCATTCCCACTCTGACAGGCATGCTGTGCTTCATGACTAGCTGCGCAGTGACCTGCGGCTTGTGTTCATTTTGATTTTTTAGGGAAACATAGTTTATTGAAACATTTGTAAAGCATTCACTTTTACTCCTTTATTTACATTGTTTTTGTATCATTGTGATCCACACGTTACATGTTGTTAGTTCAAAGCTATGTTGTTAGTTCAAAGCTATGTTTGCGATTTCCCAGGTCAGAATATCAGCTTTTACGTTAGGATGCTAAACTAGGTCATGTACTGTGTTCTTAGGTATTAACATTCTTAGAGAAGGGGTGTATTGTCCATGTGGAAAGGCTGTATTAAGTACAACACGAGATGTTTAAGAAGCAGCCACTCCTGTTGGACGGACTGAACGTCCGCTCTCCCTCTGACGGGCAGTAATGTGAATATCAGCCTTGGATACTCAACTTTCACTGTGTGTCCTCAACGTACCAAATAACTGCCCTCCGGAAAAGCAAGTGCTGGGAAGACACTTTTTTTTTCTTGTATTAGGTTGAAAGATATGAAATTCCTGTTTTTAGGTCAAAAATGGATGAATAATGGCAGTATCATGTGGCTCACACCTAATTAGAACACAGCAGTTTGGACGCAGCAATTGGATCCAAAGATATGTTTCAAACTCAGAATTATTTTATTAGCAGAGCAAACACAGTTCAGGAGTTGTATTGGCTGATGAAAGAGAAAATGAGGACTTTTCCTTTCATTAAAGTAGTCTCTGCTGTCATGAGGTAGACTCACACTAAAAGTCATTTCAAAGTTTCTTTTGAGCACTTGGCTCAGATTTAGAAGTGGAAAACACTTCTCTCTAGGCTGATTTTGGTGGAGAGGAGAACAGAATTACTCAGGACTAATTCAATTTAAGAGAGAAAGTCTATAATTTGTATACATTCTATCAGTTCTCAAGACAATCTTCCCCTCGATGTCATTGTGTAGTGCTGCTTCTTTTTTTTTTCTTCCCTAAAGCAGTATGTTTTTAGAATGCTTTTTAGAATCATTGGAGAAATGTCTGTTTCTTCTTCTAGGCCATTACCTTGCCCTCTTTCTCGGAGTTTGCCGTTCCGTCCCCAGCCTTCCTCCGAGCCTGGACCATGGAAAGCAAACGCCCAGGCAGGCTCTTGCGGAGCGACCAGCAACAGCTTAAGTAGGTTTCTCACTGAGCGCCCCTTCCCTCGCCTGCGGCGCTGCGGCGGGCGCGGGGAATGAGGCGGACTGATGGGGAAGTAGTCATTGGCGTCAGGGGGTAACCAAGTGGTCCAGTAATTCCGTGTTAGGGAGTCGGATAACTTTTTCTCATCCGTTAAATGTTGGAGCAGCTTCAGTTTCCTGTATTTAGTATAAATGTAGCTTAGTGTGTCTTTCTCCTGTGTTCTTGAGACTGTGAATGAAATTTTTAACATTCTTACGAGGTGTTCAGAAAATAATCTTTAGCTGAAGAGAAAATCTTAAAATTGACCAAAAAAAACTTTTTAAAAATTAAATGATACATCCCTCAATATTACTTTGTTTCTTGCGTTATCAGGGAATGCAAACTGGGAAGGAGAACTGAGATCTGTTTGGAGCCTCTTCAGAAAAAAGAGAACTTGGGGTAAGACGTGGTAACGCACGCGCATCTCAGCATGGTGCTCAGTCTCAATTGAAGCTAGACTAGCGTATGTTTTCCACTCCTTCTAAGTAGGCTGGCAACATAAAACAGGTAGTGTTCTAGAAATACGTTTATATGTCTGGTTCCTCAAGCTTGGGACTCATCTTCCCACGCAAAAAGGTAAGCAAGAATCTTCAAGTCTAATCCCCACGTGCATATTGAGCCCATAATGATCTTGAAGTGTAAGCAAGGTGCTTGTCCCCACGCTCATAACTGCACTCGGATAGTCTTGTGCCAGCCTGAAGGACAGCAGCACCCCGTCGCTCTGCCCCTTCTCCTTGTTTCACCCTAATAACACCTGACATGCTATGTATTCATTGATTGGTTTGTGCTGGTCTGTCTCCCGCTACTGGAGTGTAAACTCTGTGTGAACAAGTACTCCATCTGTGTGTCCACTGCTGCATCCCAGTACCTACAAAAGTGCCTCGTTCATAAGGTCCCTGGGTGGTGCGAATGGTTTGCACTCAGCTCGTAACCAGAAGGTTGGTGATTTGAACACATCCAGCGGCAGCGCAGAAGAAACAGACCCGGCGATCTGCTCCCATACAGATTACAGCCAGGAAAACCCTATGGACCAGTTCTGCTCTGTAACACATGGGGTCTTCTAAGCCACAAATTAACAGTAAGAACAAAATCAACAACAAGAGCACTTCGCTCATAGATACTAAGTAATTGTTTGCTGAATAAAGAAGCACCCAAAAGGTATCTATAGTCAAACCGTCCTGTTCTCTTTCTGCTACAAGAAAATCTAACAGGCCCTTTTTTGTAAATATCACCAACTATTCAGATTCGTTCTCCCTGATGTGATAGGAATATCACTCTCACTGCCAAGCTGTTAAATGGGAACAGCTCTAATAGCGGTCCTTCAACCTTGTCTAACCTTCCCTTCATCCCACTGTGGTTTATAAAAATGCAATCTTAGTACTGAGTTGTATTTCCAAGGGTAGTTTTCTAGAAGGGGAATTCCTGGATCAGATGGCACGAGTATCTGAACCCTTTTGTGCTCATGGCTGCCTCTGGGGACCAGTACTTCTCAGCCTCGGGGGTCTACTGGGAAGCTGCTGCACCACGGGGACTGTGTGCTGCCCCAAGGCAGGGGCCTTCGTGACATTTGAACCCGAAGAGGCGGGCGTGCGCTGCAGATTACTGTGTTTACAGGGTATTGTATGAGGTGTCTGAATTTTTGTTAGGAAAATAGACATTGTGAGAATTTTTATTTATTACACATACGTACCAGCAGACCCTGGTGGGGACTCTGGGGTATAGTTAGTGGTACTTCATATGTATCACTAAACACTTAGGGGAGGCTTGTGGGGGGTGGGAAGAAAAAAAAATCCATACTAACCAAAAATTCAGACACACTCAATAATTCAGCATGCTTTCATTAATGCAAACACATGGTAGCAACAAAAAATTCAAAGTAGAAAATAAATAATTGGGTCACGAAAGGGTTCCACCTCTTAAAATACATTGTTGAATTCCCTTCCAGGTAAGTTGTATGAATTTATGTTCTCATAAGCAGTATTTACGAGTATTTACTTCATCTCATCCTCATTTGTGCAAGTTCTTGTATAATAACAGGGTTGACCTCGTATTTGTTGTTAGCAGTGTCCTTCTGAAGAACATACTGTGCACTTACTTAGCCCCCTCCCCGTGCTTTTCTGTCTCAGTGAGGACACCTAGCCCACCCTCTTCCTCCTCACCCCAGCCTGTCACCCCTCCTTGGCAACTTCAGCATCTGTGCTGACGACTTCTTTAGGCTCCGGGTTCTCAGCTGCAGGACCTCAGCTGACGCAGCACACCTTCATCCCGGCCAGCACCCTCCCCCGCAGCCAGCACCCTCACCCCTAGCCAGCACCTTCATACCTGTGAAGGATGGAACTGCCAGGATTTCAGTTCCTCAAAAATCCCTTCTTTGACCACAGCCTCCCCTCCTTCCCTCTGTCCTCCTCCTTAGTCAGCCCACTTTCTCCCGTGGTCTCTGCTACCTCTAGCCATTCCTTTTCTTTCACTGCATCACCCTTTCTTGTGGTAAAAACACCAGTGTAACAAGTATACGATTTTAAAACCACTCCTTGTCTCACCACCCTAAATAATTGGCTTTCATTTTCCAACTTTTCTATCTTCTAGTTCTTATCCATACATGGTTTTTACTTACTGTCCTGTAATAACCTGTATACATCTGACTTGTCTTTCCACCTTTCTGGATGTTCCTCTTCCTTCTTTTCCTCCCCAAGGGCCTCTTATCTGTGCTCCTCTCCTACACAGGTGTCATTTGCTCCCGCAGATGCAGCCAGCACCTCAGTTCCGCTCGTACCTTTAGGCCAGTCTCTCTTCCCAACTCAAAGCCCTCAGTTTCTCCTCCTGCTACCCCACAGCGGTTCAGATTTAGAGCACCTGAAATCAAGTACCTCACCGTCTTCCCCAAACCAGCTCTTTCCTTCTGGCTTCCCAGGGAGTCACTGTGGCCAGACACCTGGCCAGGCTTGACTCCCTTGTTCCCTCACTCAGCAGAGCACAGCCCTGCCCAGACCTGTCAGCTCTGCCGTGCTCCCCTTTGTCCCCACTGCCCTGCTCCCTCACTGAGGCATGTGTTGCTCTCCAGGGGACTGCCCCTGTGGACTCCCAGCAGGACCTTCCCTTCCATTCTTCTTCAGTATAGAAGGAAATCGAAGGAGAGAATAAGAGTTTCCTACAAAAAGTCAGAGCAGAAGCTTTGCCTGTCACTCCCCCAAAGCCCCTGCAGTTATTGTGAGTTTTTCATTTTGCTGGTTTAAGTCTAACAGGTTCCTTCTGTTGCAGTCCCCAGGACTTGCTGCTCAGGACCCAGATGCGCCTCCCTGGCGAGAGGTCCTACTCCCTGCCCGAGGACATGGTGTGGGACACCGTCAGAAGCTGCACTGCAGCCTCCCTGAGGCAGAAAGTGGCTGACTTCTACTCTCTACCTGTGGAGAAAATCGAGATTGCCAAATACTTTCCTGAAAAGTTTGAGTGGATTCCCATCTCAAGCTGGGTAAAGTCTGGGGCTTTCTCAGACAACTTGGGCCTTCTGGCACAGCAGACACAGGGAGGCCGTGGTGCTCTCCTGGAGACACACTGGACTTTGCTCATGTCAGTGACAGGCTATTCAAATTAAAATCATAGAAAAGTGAGATTCGGTGAACTATAGTTTTTCACCGTAGTAGGGAATTAATAAGAATTTGAGATTGAGCTTTGCTTATTGAAGATGTTTGATTTTTCCATAGAACCAGCAAATTGCCAAGAGGAAAAAGAAGAAAAAGCAAGATAATTTGCAGGGAGCACCTTATTACTTGAAAGACGGAGATACTATTGGTGTTAAGGTAAATTGTTTGACGGAACACCAGGCTCAGATGATTTTATAGAGGGTTTTTTTCAGATTTTGAAGGCACAGATAATCCCTATTTCATACAGATTGTCTCAGAAAATGGAAAAAAAAGGGGGAAGCCAGACAGCTCATTTTACGAGGCTAGTGTAACCTCAACACTAGAGCTATCGAGTAAAGGAAAATTTTACATCAATTTCACATATGATTATAAATGCAAAATTATAAAATACTAGCAAATCAAATCCAGCAGTGTGTTTTAAACAGTATTATTGTGTGATGACCAAGCAGACTTATCCAAGGAGTGCAGAATATCAAAAATATATTTATGTAACACATTGCACTAGATAAAGAAGAAAGTCCTATAACTAACTCAACAGATCCAGAAAAAGCATAGAAAAAGATTTAATATTAAAAATTCTGTGTTTATTTGTGGTTTAAAAAAAGAACTTAGGGCAGTGCAGGAATGGAAGGGAACATCTTTACCCTGATAAGGGGGCTCTCTAAAACCTGCAGCAACACACTTAATGATTCAACTTCAAAAGCCTTTTCATGAACGTCAGACCCCATAATAAGGACTCCCTTTATCACCACTTCTATTCAACATTATCCTAGACAACATAGCCAATGTAATAGGATTCCCCTCCCCAAAAATAACATAAAAATTGAAAGAAAGGTTAAAATAAATTTAAAAAGGGAAATATAAAACTTCATATATGCAGTTTTTCTGCAAAGGAGATTCACGGGACTCTACAGATAAACCATTAGCTCTGATTGGGGGGCTCAGCAAGCTTCCAAGTTTAGCATACACACCACCACCAGGCACCTAGAGATGTGTGTACATCCAACAGAAAGAAGACTGATGAGGCCTTTCTGGAGAGTGTTACAGAAACATTGCTGAGCAGTATTAAAGAACGCTCCAGTAGATGCAGCGCCAGATCATGTTCTTCCCAAATCTGTAAATTTAGTAGAATTCCCATGGAAAGCCAAGTAGATTAGACTACATAGAATAAATTCGTATGGAAGAGCAAAGGGCCAGGTAAACAGACAGGCCAGTGGATTTGAGTTAGAGATCCCAGAAACAGAATCACACATATAAGGAAACTGGACATGTATGATTGAGGAGACATTAAAAATGGATTATTCAGTAAATGGTGCTGAGAGAATTGATAATCCATATCGAAAAAATATATTCATAATTTCATTTTTATAAAGAGGGTCGCCAAATTTTTATAAGCTTCATGCCCCAGAAGACCGGTACCCACCTTGGCTCACACACAGTCAGTTGCAGTTGAAGACTTAAATGTGAAAAGCAATATTTTTCAACCATTAGAAGAAATTAAATAGGAAAATGTTTATGATTTTAGGCTATGAAGAGTTTTCCTTAAAAAGCACAAATCATAAAGAAGAAGATGGATAAATTCAATTACATTAAGAGCAAAAAGTTTTGTTCATCAGAGGAGATCATAAGGAAAAGTGAAGACAAGTCACGAACAGGGAGAAGATATATGCAGCACCATAGCTAACAGGATTGTTACCCAGGCTATATAAAGCACATCTACAAATCAGTAACCCAGTAGAGGAGAGGTGAGCGGAGGTGCTAACCCAGTAGTTGAAGAAGAGGAAAGCTGAGTACCCTGGGAGCACTGGAAAGATGATCACCTTCCCTCATGACCAGGGAACTGCAAAGACAGCGCACCCCCATTTCCAGCAGCAACAGCAGAACTCCCCCGCGCTACCGTAGGAGCGTGAGTCAGTACAGCCACGCTGGAGAGCAGCTTGGCAGTGTGTAGCAGTGATAAAGTTGCCCACACAGTACAACCAAGTAATTCCACTCCTACATGTGGATACCTTAGAAAAACTTGCCCGTGTCACCTGAGACATGCAGACTGCCCACCGAAGCACTGTTTATAATAGCATCAGCTGGAAGGAACTCGGGTGACCCTCAGAAAGGCAGTAGGTAAAGTGGGGGAGAGGGAGTGGGTTGACTCAGTAGACTGGTACCCAGCAGGTGAAAGGGGATAAACCAGAGCTGCATGTGTCAACGTGAATATTCATCAAATCTTTAATGTTGAGGAAAAAACCAAGTCACTGCCTGATACATAGAAACCGAATGGTATCTGTAGAGTATGTACCCTTATATAAAGTGTAAGCCCCTTTAAAAGGCTAAGCCTTGCTGAGGGTTACGATCCTGTGCAGTCAGAGCACAGATGAAGATGAGAAGAGTGACACCGAATTCAGTGCAGAGGTCGCCTCCATGGAGGGGAGGGGCAGCAACAGAGGCTACAGATTTTTTCCTTTTGAGAATAAAAATGAAGCCAATGTGATAGAAGTTTAATGCCATTGATACCATCATTTATGAGCATTTGACTGTTTGCCAAGCACTGCATGCTGCGCGCTGTGTCTGCATTCCATCCTGTGAAGCAGGTGCCACTTCCACATGAGGAACGTGAGGCCCAGGGAGGTTAAGTAACTTGTTTACGGCGCACAGCTGGTGTGCCTGGGTACTCCCACCTAGACACGCTCTTAACCATCGTACCAGACTGCCTGGGGTTGGGTCCCATTATCCTCCTTATCGTCTAGATTTTTTAATGCTTCACCATTTTTCAAAAAGTATATCATGCATGACTTACTGGAATTATATTTATCTTCTACGATTTATTGGAATAGAGAATATGGTATTTGTTACATTTATCTAAACCTAGAGTGGAGAAGTAGCAAGACCATCCTGCAGTTCTTCAGGCAGTGTCTGTGTCAGTGTAAGGCTATGCTGCGTGTAACTAGAGCTCACTCTCCCAGCTCTCTAAGAAAGTGGCCAGGAGCCAGAGGAGTCCTTCACGTGCAATTCTGCTAGCCTCAGAGTGTCTCTGTTTAACATACACTTTCCTTCCTACCATATTTTCTTTGGGTGAACATTCAGATCAGTTAATACTCCCTGGGACATGCATGTGGGGAGCTGAGGGGAGAGGCCAAGCCTTAGAAAGGAAGGAGGAGACTTGGTCACTCAGTAATACTTATTCTGCATCCTTAATTTGCAAAGCACTGTGCTAAAAGCATAAGGAAAATCCCAAGTAAGCAAAAGACGATCCCTGGACCTCTCAGAAGCTGGCAGTTAGCTGTCGCAATGCACTTACCTGACAGGCAGCCGAGTTCCGGCCAGTGCGGCAGTTAGAGGCCCAGCATGCTGCTGGAAGGTTTCTGCGCTTACTCCCTCGAGTCCCTTCGGAGCCCTTTTGGTTGGCTCCCTCTCGGTGTGAGCATTTCTAGCTGAAGGCAGAAGTCAGATGGCTGAACCGCCCTTTCCCTTATGAAGCGCTTCCTGCCATGTGCTGCATTGGTTTTCATCAGCACTGGAATGTGTTTTGCTTGCTTCAGTCAGTTGTTAATTTAGTTTATGTAAATTTGAATATACCTTTGTCAATTTAGATAATTTTTTAAACATATCTCTTAAATGTAAGCTAAAAAGAGGAGCCCTGGTGGCGCACTCTGGTTAAGCACTCAGCTGCTAACCGAAGGGCTGGTGGTTGGAACCCACCGGTCGCTCTGCGGGAGAAAGATGCAGCAGTCTGCTTCCGGAAAGAATCCAGCCTTGGAAACCCTATAGGGCAGTTCTGTTCTGTCCTATAGGGTCACTGTGAGTCGGAATCAATTTTTAATGGCAGTGGGTTTGGTGGGTAGACTAAAAAAAGATGTCTGAAACCATTGTTCATTAATTCTTTTGGAACGTAGAATCTGCTGGTTGAAGATGATGATGATTTCAGTACAATCAGAGATGACATTGGAAAAGAAAAACAGAGACAACTTGCTCTGGGAAAAAAGAAAAGGTAACAGGATTCTCACGTGTAGGCAACTGACAGGTTCCGTTTGGAACCTCTAGGGGGCGCTCTGCCCTTTTCTCTCTCTTGCTGGAAACCTGCTGAGAAGGGCGAGCAGCTCTGGCTGTGCAGGGCTGCCAGCCGTGGAGAGTGCAGTGCCCTGGGGATCCGCTCTGCCGAGCGCGTTTGTACACAGCCTTCAGATTGCCTTCCCATGGAGCTTTTGGGGGAACCAGCAGGGGAGGGGTAGACAACCACACCAAGAGGACACCGCACGTGTGCTCTGCTCTCACCCTCTTCCCCTTCCTCCGGAGCCTCGTCCCCTCAGGCAGCCTCACCTGCTCCCCTCTACTTAGCCTCTCCCCATTTTCTGGGTCTTGTCTTTCAGATATTAGCTCCCCAGGTCTCAGTCATCTATATAGGCACCCCTAATCATACCTCCCAGTCCCCCTACTTCCTCCCTCCTCTGTCGCCTGCCCGCCAGCCCCTCTGTTCTCTCCAAGGTTAGCGAGACCCTGGCTGTTTGATGTGGAGACCCTGCCCTTCATCTGACTTCTCTGCCGTTCAGCACGGTGGCTCCCTCCGCCTCCCCGGCTGCCCTTCGCCGTCTCCTGTAAGGGCTCTTTCCTCTGTCCAGCCCTCAAATGTGGGCACGCACCAGGACTGGCCCTGTCCTTTCCTCACACCCCATGCTCTCCCCTAGTCCCGTCATCTTAGGGAGCCTTGCTCCCTCCTCCACTTGCCCTCTGATGAGGCATGCATTTCCCTACAGAGCCAAGCTCCCACTCCCAGCCTCCAGGCCAGATGTACCTACTGGGATCTGCTGGGGCGTCCCCCAGATACCTCAGGCCTGGCCTTTCGCCGCCCTGGTTCATGACGTCGGCCAGAAGGTCACACCAGAGGCTCCGTGGGTGTCCTTATCTCTCCCCTCTTCAGTCTCACGAGGTCACACCGTCTCTAAATCTGAGTGTGGCCAGAGGCTCCTGGAGGCTTTGAAGGAGTGACCTTCTCTGATTTACGCGTTGTCTGTTGTGGAATGGATGAATTCTAGGAGATAAAGTAGAGTCAGCGACTAGTTAGGGGACTCTGCTAGTAGCTAAGTGAGGATGCTGCGGCTTAGACAGGTGGTGGCTGTGAGGACGGAGAGATCTAGAATGTCAGCTCGTGAGCATAGGGGGTTTCCTCTCGTTCATGGTGGTACTCCAGTACCTAGAACAGTGCTACTTAAATATGTGCCAAATGAGTTCATTCAGTCAGTCACTCACTCATTCCAGAGATGTATGTATTTACAGAGGTAAGTACTTACAGTGGCTATTCATAATAGCCCAAATCTGGAAATAACTGAAGTGCTGACCAACACTAGAATGGATATGTCAGTTGTGGAATCTTCATGTAATAGAATACACTGTGCAGCAAGGATGAAAAAGAGAGCTTCCGCTACCCACAGTGTGGACAAATCACACCAACACTGAGTGAGCAGAAGAGGCCAGAGACAGTGCGTGCGGCGTGTGGGGACTGACTGAGCAGAAGAGGCC